TTCTTGTTCTAATTAAAATTATAATTAAAATGTAATTACAAACTAATCATATCTGTTTGTTTATTGAATATTTTTCCATATCATTTTGCACATATCTAACAATTACTGATTTGTTAAGAAAAACATTACATAATGACTTTTTGATTTAAGTACAACAAATTACGATAAATTCCTTCAACAACTTTTCTTTTTTCTTGCCTGTTATTTCTGAAACGATTTGAGATATCGATATACCAGAAAAACAGGACATCATCAGAAACGGTGTTTTTCGAAATAATAATAAGTATTATTATTACAAAAAAGAAATTTATAAAAAATATGCTGAACCCGCTGGGAGTTTTTTGAGTATCTACTACTGAAAGGATATGTTGCCACAACAAACTATAAGGTAGCAGGCTTTATTTATAAAGGCAGTTTTTGATTTACCTTTAATGGCTGAGCATGTAACACTCATTTTGGAAAGTTGATATGGCCATAGAAAATTGTATGTAACCTTTAGAGATAAATGTCAAAATAATGAGTTCTCTACAGTTCTCTTTAGTCCTCTACAGTTTTCTACAATTCTCTACAGTTCTCAACAGTACTCTATATTTCTCTATTGCTACGTTTGAAAAGTACCTCACGGAGCGGAGTAGAGCTAGTAAATTTTTTAGTCACGTGATCATCGAGCAAATCGAGCTTATGTGGAATAAAAGAACGGCTATGGATTTGTTTGTCTTTCCCGTATCCGGTATTCATTAAAATAACAAACGTAAACCTTTCTTTTAAATAAAATTTGATCTCTCGTCTCGTGGTTTTTGTTGCAAGTTGCCAAGTAAAGTAAATTTTTATCTGTGGTATTTTTCGCTTTCACTAGAAAATAAACCATGTTCTCATTTCTGTCTGACATGTTTTATAAATATTTTTTTTAATAACCAAACACATGAAAAAGAATAAACTGCTATACAAGAGACAACGAACGATGTCTATACATCTCAGAAAAGTACATCTACTTTGTCAATTGTCACAGAAATTCCATTTACTCCGAAAGCTCTAAAATTTAACTCGGAGTAAATAGATCTTACTCGATTTACCAGCTCTGCATTAAAAGACCACGTAGCAGATCCCATCGAGAAGCCGCAGATGTATTAAAAGAACGACTTCGAGTAAAAAGAGCAAAATGAGGTAATTTTCAAACGCAGCATATATTTCTCTACAGTTCCCTACAGTTCTCTACAGTTCTATACAGTTCTCTACAGTTCTCTACAGTTCTCTTCAGTTCTCTACAGTTCTCTACAGTGCTCTACAGTGCTCTACAGTTCTCTACAGTTCTCTACAGTTCTCTAAAGTTCTCTACAGTTCTCTACAGTTTTCTACAGTTCTCTACAGTTATCTACAGTTCTCTACAGTTCTCTACGGTTCTCTACGGTTCTCTACGGTTCTCTACGGTTCTCTACGGTTCTCTACGGTTCTCTACAGTTCTCTACAGTTCTCTGCAGTTCTCTCCAGTTCTCTACAGTTCTCTACAGTTCTCTACAGTTCTCTAGAGTTCTCTACAGTTCTCTACAGTTCTCTACAGTTCTCTACAGTTCTCTACAGTTCTCTACAGTTCTCTACAGTTCTCTACAGTTCTTTACAGTTCTCTACAGTTCTCTACAGTTCGTTCTCTACAGTTCTCTACAGTTCTCTACAGTTATCTACAGTTCTCTACAGTTCTCTACAGTTCTCTACAGTTCTCTACAGTTCTCTACAGTTCTCTACAGTTCTCTACAGTTCTCTACAGTTCTCTACATTTCTCTACAGTTCTCTACAGTTCTCTACAGTTCTCTACAGTTCTCTACAGTTCTCTACAGTTCTCTACAGTTCTCTACAGTTCTCTACAGTTCTCTACAGTTCTCTACAATTCTCTACAGTTCTCTACAGTTCTCTACGGTTCTCTACAACTCTCTACAGTTATCTGCAGTTTTCTATAGTTTTCTATAGTTCTCTACAATTCACTACAGTTCTCTACATGTTGTATTGTTGTATTTTTTCGTTATCTAAAAAAAAGGTCCTAACCTCTCTTCAAAAGTATAAAAATTTACATATTATGCTTAACAAATTGTATTTAAAAAAAATGGCATTTACTTTGACATCGCGCGTGGCAGTAAGTGGAGACTGGCAACCTTAATGATAGTGTATGGGCATTATAATCAAATAATAAGGAAAAATGAAAAATAATGCTTCGGTATGATCCGAAAATCAAATAGGTATGAAAATTACTGTGTTCGATAACTGACACGATAACTCTAGAAAGAAACCTACGATCGATTTGCCGTTTTGGCTTTATAATTTTTCCAAGCCGAGAAACCTATTGCTTCTCAGAATTTTCAGCTTAACTTTAGTGCTTCAGATATCAGTGTTTTTAAAATGCAATGCATTTCTTAAGGAGCTTATTTTATGCACTCTCACACGAATACTGTATATATCGTGATTTAAATAGATTGACATGTATGTCAACTCATTTCTACATTGCTGTAATTCTTAAAAATGTCAAATAGATTATTTAAAATATTTAAGTCTATTAAAGGATTTTATTTGAGTGTTTATTCATTGTAAGTGAAATTATTAGTTATATAAGAGAAAAATATTGTTTTAAATTAAAATAAATATGGATCTTTTGCAAATAATTTACAAGATGGTGAAGTAACGATGATTTTTGCACGAGCTTTAACGCATTTTGGAATGGAGCTCGTATCTGACTTTGATATTAGAGTCAAAACGGTATAGGATCCAATTATTATGTTTACATGGGTAAGCTTAAGGGACAACAATATTTTTATATAGACGAGTTTAAAGGGTAAAAGGCCAAATAATTTTACATGGAAGTAACGCGCCAAAATAATTTTACGTGGACAGGTTTAAGGGGTAAAGGGTGCAAATATTTTTAGATGGACAGGCTTAAAGAGTTATGAGTTTAAATAGTTTTACATGGACAGGCTTAAAGGGTAAATGACTCAAATATTTTTACTTGTATGTACAGGTATGAGTGGTAAAGGGATTAAATATTTTGATGTGAGTTGACCTAAGGGACAGATGGATTAATTAGTTTTATGTTACATGGGCAGGCGTAAGGGGTAAAAGAACGAAATATTTTTCCATGGGTAGGCTTAAGGGGTAAAAGGTCCAAATATGTTGACATAAATTCTTCAAACAATCAAAAGGCGACATGTAAATGGTCCTAAAAAAACAGGGCTAGCAATGTTTTTTTTTTAAATAGTTTTATGACGGTTCAGAGGACGGTCCGGTCATATTACTTTTAACGCTTAACCTCACTTGTTTACCTTTTTAATTGTGCTACTATCTACACTTGTTAAACTGAAATTTATGACATATGACACAAAACTTCACGAACTTATTCACGAATATTCATTTTTACTTTCATCACCAGAAATTGATAGATATAAAGTCCGCATAACTGAAATATAAATATTATACAATGTGGTACAAATGAAGGGATAAAATTCATTATTTTGTAACTAAGTAGCGTCTGGGAAATGTTCTGAAACCTGTCGATTTTTATTTTCAAACACGCGTTCTGTCAGTTATAAATAGAAATGTTAAAAGAAATAAATTCCAATTCTCAAATGTTACCAGTTTAAACATAACAACAAAGGAAAAACTCAAAGTCCGTGTCACAGAAACTACGAGCGACCATTTTCCTTCTAAAAACAACTACTCCTATGCTAATACCGCAACAGGCATTGCATTATATCAAAATATAAAAAGCAAAGATAGAAAATAGGTGTAGATGACGTTTTTTGCTCTCAACCGCTGTTAATGGATACAAACGAATTTTGTATTGTTGGCAGGTTCTATTATTTTAAAAAGGATGTTTGCCTTGTCTCTCCTATACCCAAAACTTTTGGTTTAATAAATGGCCATCACAGTCAACCATGCTTCTAATAAATTTGAACAGAAATAACAAGATTGCTTCTTCGCAGTGGTAATAGAAGCGTTAATTTTATATACAACAACACGATTTTCATTGTTATTCTCAGTTTTTTGTCATTACCTGTCCTACATCCTTCAGTTAACCTCATGGATAACCTCAAATATATTTAACCGCTCAATTCTCTTCGTCCTTGGCTATAATAATAGATTACATACAAATACAAATGTCAAAAGGTCATACCAATATAACAAAAGTTGTATTATTTTTATCACCTGATGTCATCTTCTATACTTTCTCTCCTCCCTATGTAAAACCATAATATTCAAGAAACTTTTCATTATACATTATAACCAACGACGAACAACTACTAGACTAATTTTGTTTAAAAAAATCCACGTATTTGTCAAATTATTACGAAAAAGTATGGGAGAGTATTGTTACAAGGATTATGTATGGTTATAATTCGGTATTGACTAAACATAAGGCTCTAAAGCGCACAAAAGGCTTTCAAAATTTTATTGGGGAGTATATGTGCATTCCTATTGTCACTTATTATCAGTTTAATGTATTTTTTCTCGTTGCAACTATTATAGTTGTCTTCTTCTTTCTAATGTGGCAGCCGATGCGACAGCTCTATCTACATAATAATAAACCTAATTCGAATGATGACAATATAAAAGGGCTTAATTATGAATGAATGGATTAGTTTAGCAATTTTTTATCGTTGCATGTAACTAAATAAAATATCAAGTAGGTATACATAGAAAACAAAAATACTATATGGCTTGTTTTTAGATAAACAGTTAAGTACGTAGGTATTGTTATTTCTAGTTCCGCGATAACGCTTTCTATAGGATTCTGCTTTATTTTATACATAAATATAACAACTCAGATAACAGCTTATAAATAATAACAAAAGATGATCTAAAATGTATATTAAGGATCAATTATATAATTATATAGATTGTAATCCTCTTACAAAAAAATACTATACTATTTTCAAGGTCGTCCAAACACATAAATCTACTTATCATTTCATATAACATAAAGTTTGAACATAGAGATACTTGTTAATAAAAATACTTACGATTTGTTATTAATTTTAGTCTAACGACAGCCCATAATTGAAAAACGTAGAATATCGAACATGTGACGAGTAAATAACAAATCCATAATAATGCTGCTATGTGAAGTTTTCTAAAAGCAGCTCGTATCAGATATATTCCAAGTGTGACCCTAAAACGAAAAAATAAAAAATTGTGCAATTGTTTATTAAAATAAAAAAAAAACACTTTGACCAAAAAAAATTAAGATCATAAATTCTGACAAAGTGACGGTAACGTTAGAAAACCATGGCACAACCGAAGCCAATTACCAAAATTGGAGATGTGTTATTTGGGACCGAAAACAGTAAAAAAATGCTACAGCAAATATAATTATGTATAATTAATTGTATCACAACTGTATTAACTCTTGTTTAATTGTTAATATGATGAAAACCTTGTACTTTTAATAGATTTTAGGTTCCTTCATTATTAATTATTGTATTGTTGTAATTTGTGAAAATTGTAAGTAGGTTTAGATTCGTTTTAACAACATTAGCTCTGACCAATTGATCTGAGATCAAGGCCATCATACAAAACACACACACACACAAGTATACTTCGGATGAAACTATATTAAAGGAATAAGGAGTCAAGAAAAACGAGAAACATTCGAATATTTTTGTTAATACGACGAATACTTAATTACGAAATATGTAAAGGTGCCTTAAGAGGTTAACAATAAAATTCGTAGTATTTTTATACAAATTGATTAGCAACTACGAAACCACTAGGAAACCATCTTACTTATTCCTACCGTCCAATCTGCCTAACATCCTTTCTTTTGAAAACACTAGAGATAATTCTAGATAGGAATATTAAAGAAGGACGCCTTCGGACATCCCCGTTAAACTCCTACCAATATGCCCACCAAGCAGGCAAATAGACAGATCATGCACTCCACAATCTAGCAGGCAGATTCAGTCAATTCCTAAAATACGGGGAACATTGCACTGGAAGCCTTTCTACAATAGAAGGCGCGTTCAATAACGCTCCTTTTGAAAGAGGAATCGACAAATTGCCCTGTAACTTTTTCAAAAACATGCTTACAAACCGGAACATCATTTCATCACTGCAGCGAAAGACACTCACTTTGTGACCTGCCAGAGGATGCTCCTAGGTCGGCGTACTTTCTCCCCCACTATGAATTATTTTGGTGGATAGCCTGCTGGACGATCTCTCTTGGCAGTGGGTGGATCTCCAATGCTATGCGGACGATCTGGTTATCATAATTAGGGGGAAGTACGAAGAGGCAATCTCCAAAATCCTATTAACAAGCCCTAAATACGATCAACAGATAGTGCGAGAGGGGACATGTTTGTTAAATCCCGGAAAACTGTTATCATCCCCTTCACCAAGAGAAGAGAGCTCGGCAAGCTTCGACAACCTACCTTGACCGAAGAAACCATTCCTTTTGTGGAGGAAGTGTAATATCTGGGGATTATCCTAGATAAGAAGCTCATCTGGAACTACCAATTAAAAAAAAACTATCGACAAAGGCAAATTATCCCTCTGGACCCTCAGAAATTTATGCGGCAAAGCAACTGATCTACTAGCTTTACCAAACAGTGGTAACATACGGCTCCGTCGTCTGGTGGGACAAGGGATTTCAACAAACGAATAATGCAAAGTTGGCTGAAATCCAGCGGTTGGGGTGCCTCGCCATCACTGAGGCAATGTCAATTACATAGAGACTGCTGGACCTAACCCCTTTTAACATTTTGCAAGAAACGGAGGCCAAGATGGTCTCCTATGGACCCCTGAAGGTGGATAGTCAATGCAATGAAGTACTGCGATGGGACAAGACGGAGCTGATGAGTGAAATTAATAACCACCACATCCTCGGTATGGTCTCAGACTCGCTAGTTCCCCGACAGCATATAGGAAAGTCATACAGCGTCCTTATTCCAGAGAGAGACGTATGGAGTAGGAGAATAAAACCCTCTCCCAGGCAGACTATGCATTGTACACGGACGGTTCCAAAACTAAAAAAGGAGTAGGAGCGGGAGTTGACATATAAATAAACCTAGGCTTTCTGGCCACGATCTTCCAAGCAGAAATTATTGCTATAGAATTGGGAGCGAGAGATTTGATTAAGTTTCTCCTTGCAAACAAGCCTGAACTCCGATAGAGTTGGCTCAAAGCTGGCTTGGAACTGTATAAATACCCTTAAATGTCTCGGTGCCTGGAACAAAGTTACTTTGATCTAGAGTCCAGCACACAGTGGTATGGAGGATACTGAAAAAACCGACGCGTTCGCTAAAAGAGAAAAAGAATCTGAGTTCATAGGACCAGAACCATTCCTGGGCATAGCAAAAAGCACTGCTAAAGGAATTATCTCAAAATGGACTCACGAACTGGAGATATACCCATAGCTAACTCATTCGAAGGCTTCTGCTTGGATCCAGGAATGGAATAGGAAAGATTTACGCATTTTCACGAGACATGACAGGACATTGTCGTCTCGGTAAACACATGAGAAGGATAGGTATGCATCAAATATCGGACTGTTGATTCTGCAGCGTGGAAGACGAATGTGCAGATCACAATTTATGTAGATGCTCCGCTTTGGAAAGAACTAGGTTCCAGATCTTCGGATTCACTCGACTGGAGCCTACCGACTTTAAACAAGTCTCACCCAATTCAACCATGGCCTTCAACAAAATGTGTGGCTTGTACGGTGAACAATAAGTTAGACATGAGCCACAATAGATTCATATGGGTTGCAGTTAAAGACAATGAGATTATCCCATTCATTTTCAACCTAACCTAACGTTTTCGGACCCACTAACAAAAATCTAGAACTTTTTAAAAAAATGTTAGGATGAAACACCTAATTTAAAAATTATTTATAAAAAAAAGATTTAATTTAATTAGTCTCCAATCTCAGAATTGAACCCGGGACTTCTGCATAAAAACTTAGTGCCCTAGTATCTGCTCCATCGCCACACGTATACTCGTAATTAAATTGATTTCATATAGTTTTAATAAAATTTGTGATGTATTTGTAAATACAGACGAAATAAAAACAGAAATGCTATTATTTAACGATTCTACACAAGAATAACTCTTCTTAATGTATATTTAATCTGAATGTCCAAAAATATACTGACCATGAATTTGACAGAAAAAAAAGAATAGTAGCAGAGTGACCAAAATATTAACTGTGATTAGTGGAATTCATATTTGAGAAGAGTTCTTACTAGGTAGAATGTATATAAAATATATTCGTTCAGTTGAACGCAGTAGCATATTTTTTTGTTTTTTAGTCTGTGCCTAGAAAAAATATTATAAATTGTTTTTATCAAGAAAACGTAAACGTATACATTGAAATAAGACGTAGTATTTAAATTTTGCAATTTGGAGATAAAACAAAAACGATAGCTTAGATCATTATCGCCGATATTTTTAAACGCAATAATCTTTCATTTAAACAAGAGGTCCAAAAGTATAATTGCTAGAGATAATAGAACAATAAAAAATAGGTCAGTTTTATACAGGGTATTTCAGATTTAAACGAACACAGCTTAATGGGAGGTAGAGTACACTTAGCTGAGTTCAAAACACCTTCATACCTAGCCTTTAATCTTACTCGTATCTGAGATATAGTGTGTTTTATGTTTTTTTTCCAAAACTAAAATTCGGCCTTTTTGTTAGGAAAGCTAGAAATAATTTAATAAAATTTTGTACAAAAGTTACACTTTAATCAAAACCACAATTTAATTTTAAAAAATTCCAAGACCGGACTCTTTTTTTTATATTGCTCTTCTTAGCTAGAATATCACCCTGTATATCGGATTTTAATAAATTTTACTGCACACTTAAATAGTACGTGGATCAATAAATAAAATAATGTAATATTATTTAATGGCACCATCTTGATTTTTATAATGGCGACTACAATATTATAAATCAGTATTTACAAAATTTTAATCAAATATTTTACTCTGTATTTTTAAAACTCTACACAAATTAGGTACCATCTTCATTTATTTTTAACTACTGCATTTTTCAATAAGAAATTGAACATCTACACAAGACCGGGCTCACTTTATTTGATAAAGTAACAACAAACTAACAGAAACAAATAATTAATTAAAACTAAAGTAGATTTTTAAAATGAACACCGTGAACGTCAATATACCTCTGCGAACGTTTTAACAGGTTTTTCACTGATTTGTCAATTATTTCCGGTTTATTTCTAATGTTGTTAAATACATTATTCATTTTTTCCAATAACTGTGCTCGGGTATTCATTTCTTCATTGTACACCTCTGATTTAAGGTAGTCCCATAAAACATAATCCAGAGGTGTTAGATCTGGAGATCTTGGTGGCCAATTGACGGGACCGCCTCGACCAATCCATCTATTTGGGAAACGATGATTTAAATGGTCTCTGACCAGTATTTAAAAATGAGGTCCAGCACCATCGTGTTGAAACCACATTCCTTTGGTATTAATCCCTTCTAAAAAATTTGGCAGGATGTCTCTAAGGAAATTTAAATAAACTTCAGCTGTTAATTTGCCTTCAAAACATGTTACTTTATCAAATAATTTATTAAAATCCGATATAAAGGGTGATATTCTAGTTAAGAAAAGTAATATAAAAAAAAGAGAGTCTAGTCCTGGAATTTTAAAAAATTAAATTATGGCTTTGATTAACCTAAGAGAGTGTAATTTTTTTCCAAAATTTATCAAAATATCTCTAGCCATTCAAAGAAAATGGCCGACTTTTGTTTTGGCAAAAAATCATAAAACATCCTATATCTCAGAAACGAGTGAGATTAAAGGCTAAATATGGGAATATTTTGATCTCAGCTAAGTGTACTCTACCTCCCATTAAGCTGTGTCCGTTTAAATCTGAAACAGCCTGTATAGAATTTTTTAAAAAACTTCTATTAAAGAAGATATAACCCTCTAAAAAGTGGTTAACTGGACGTAGAAAAATATTTTGTTATTACTTAAAATGTCAGTATTTCAAAGCATATTATTATTACATGACTATTAGTCCCTTATCTGACTGCAAAAAGTGTCACGCCGTCGTTTTTACTTGCTATTTGTAGTTGGGAACATACACTATGTCCCGGTAGTGGGAGCTGTCGTGTGACCTGTTTAAATTCATAGTAAAGTTGCCTATCGATAGATTTTTCATTTTTTGCTAGCAATAAAATATATCCTTCAAGTAAGTAAAAAATGTGTACACAATAGGTAATTAAGAAATGAATCTAGTAAGTATTTAAAAAATGTAGGCTAAGATTATATTAATATATTTCTGTCTTTTTATTAAAATAAGTCTAGCGCTTTCGGCTTATTAGGCCATCATCAGGACTCTACAATAGAAAATGAGTGTCAAGGGACTTAGGAAAGAAAATATTTTTTACAAATAACTTAATGGTTAGTTACAAAATAAAAGTGGATCCACCATAAAAACAATCAAACATTACAGGTAATGATAAACATTAGACCCCAAATCAAATATAATCAAAAATCCCAAAGGAAATAGTATCAAATTCATCGGCTAATCAGAAGAAAGTTTTATTCAGTAACGAGCACATTGCGATATTATTATTAATATATAACTAAAAATATAATAAAGGTAGTTAGGGTAGAAATTTTAAAAATGTATCATTATTTACAGAATTTCCCCGGATGGACTAAAAAAGAGGAGAAACAACTTTTCAAAAAATTGTTTTATTTATTTCAAAAATAATAATAATTCAGAAGTTGTATATTTGTAGAACTACTTGTGTCCAACATACAACAAGCAGCATGGGATAATACGCCACCTATTATGCAGCGAACAACAGGAAATAACTATCCTAAAGAAATAAGGGACCTAATCTCTGCAAAAAGAAAACTAAGGAGGGCATGGCATCAGACCAGAGCTCCATCAGATAAAACCAAACTTAACAACGCCACCCAGCAGTTAAAAAGAGAGATAAAACGGATCAAAAATGAATCTATTTGTGAGTACCTTAGTGAGTTGACAAACGATAAATCCACTGATTATTCTCTATGGAAAGCCACAAAGCGATTAAAAAGACCCACTGTGCAGTGCTCTAATCAGGAATACAGATGGTAGCTGGGCTAGAAATAATATACAAAAAGTTAATAGATTCGCAGAACACTCTTAGAAAACACCTTCAAACCAAATGAAGGAGAAGAATTACCGAACTGGGCTCTAGTGAGATATGACTCAATTATCAGACCAACCTCTCCAAAGGAAATTGCAGAAGATATAGAAACAAATATTAATCCTAAGAAAGCTTCTGGCTATGATCTAATTACAGGAGAAGTCTTAAAACAACTTCCGAAGAAAGCCACAATTAAACTTACACACCTGTTTAATGCCTCATTCAAACTAAGGTATGTCCCTAGATTGTGGAAAGTAGCTGAAGTCATTATGATCCCCAAACCAGGAAAACCTCCGAACGAAGTTTCGTCATATAGGCCAATATCTCTATTGCCTATAATATCGAAACTATTTGAAAAAATAATAATAAAAAGACTGAAAACCATCATTGAAGAAAGAAAACTTATTCCAGATTACCAGTTCGGCTTTAGAGAAAACCATTCAACTATAGATCAGGTTCATAGAATCTCAAATGCTATTGAAAAAGCATTAGAAAACAAAGAAGTCTGTTCAGCCATCTTCCTCGATGTTGCGCAGGCTTTTGATAAAACATAAACTGAATGTGCTACTTCCACAGCCATACTCAGAGCTATTGGATTCATACATTTCAGATAGATTCTTTAGAGTAAAACAAGATGAAGCATCCTCTGATTTGAAAGAAATTAAAGCAGGAGTACCACAGGGAAGCGTCCTGGGACCCACTTTGTATCTGTTATACACTTGTGACATACCCCAACTAGAACAAGACACAATAGCTACATTTGCAGATGATACTGCCATCCTAGCGATAGGCAAATATCATGAAGAGGCTGCAAATAAACTACAAACATCAGTTAATCAAATAAAGAAATGGACCAAAAGATGGCGTATTAAACTAAACGAAACCAAATCTGTTAATATTAATTTTACTAACAAAAATGGCCAAAGAATTTAACATAAATAATGCTCAGGTCCATTATGCTAACTCGGCAAAATATCTAGATATTACATTAGATGCAAGACTTCGCTGGAAGGTCCATGTTAAAAAGAAAAGACAAGAGTTAGATATAAAATTCAAGAAAATGTACTGGTTACTTGGTAGGCATTCCAGCTTATCTACACATAACAAAATTCTATTATATAAACAAGTTCTCAAACCAATTTGGACCTATGGCATTCAGCTCTGGGGTTGTGCCAGCTATAGTAATATTCTAATAATCCAGAGATTCCAGAACAAAGTATTGAGGAACATTGTCGATGCTCCTTGGTACATTAGAAACAGCGACCTTCATCGAGACCTTCAGATGGACACTGTTGACCAGACTATCACCAGATTCGCTAGGAGTCACGAACAACGGCTCCACCAACATGTGAACGTTGAGGCGATCCAGCTTCTTGACAACACGAACCTGACAAGAAGACTCAAGAGAGTGAAACCTTTTGAGTTAGCCAAGTGATTGTGATAATAACAAAGCAAAGCATTGTGCGGTTTAGTGTTACACGTTAGTTTAGTGTAATTAAGTTATCAGACCCTAAGGTATACTAGCGAGTAGAACTTTAGTTTTTAAGATTGCAACCCTAGTTAAGTTAGGTTATAACAAAATTACTCATTGATCAACTCTTGATCAGATTGTAATATCAATAAACGCCCCTTTTGGAGTGTTTTTCTCACAAAAAAAAGTATATTTCTTTGCTTGAGTGAAATATTGACTATTTTTTATTTTTTTATATTTTTGTCATTATTTCACTAAAGCAAAAAGATATTCAACTTCTGTTTGGGTTATTATTATTTATGAAACAACAAGCAAATATCATTTTCTCTAAACATAATTGAAAATATTTTTTTCCTCTTTTTCAGCCATCCTGGGATACCCTGTACTGTTTTAACCAGATAGATAAATTGAAAAATTTAACAATATTCTTCGGTTTTAACTCGTATATTTTTAATCATAAAATATAAAGAGGGAACGAAAAGCAAGACAGCTATGTTTCAAGTAGCAATTTAAAAGGGCTTTTATAAAAAAGAATAGAGATTGTATCCAATTCCAGTGTCTGAATTATAATTAGAATTATTTATTTTCTCTTAAGTTTTACAATTTTCTTATAATAGTTTGACAATACGAAAAATAATGTATAGCAAGCCACATTAAAAAGTAGATTATCAAAAAAAAAAAAAAATTGTATTCGGCCAGTCCGGTCCTGCTTTAATCCCTTAAGACCCTCTCTGCCTAATTTGGGTCTTTCGAATAAATCACCCCAAAATATGTCCATGGACATCGCCAGTCGTAGTGAATCATTATTCTGGAATGATAAATGATAACGATATTACAAATTCTGGAGGATGTACCAGTCTAGAAACTGGTAGTACCTATTCTTAGTCGAAAGACGTCTAGAATCTTTAATATCAAGTCTGGAGCACTAGAGTTTAATATAAATAGCCCAAGTTTGGCGTTATAATCAGTTTTAGTTAAGATAAATATTATAAAAGTAAATTAGCATATAAGTAAAAGAGATATAAATTAGTGTTGAATTTAAAACAAATAAATAGTTATATAGTAAATAATTGTTTTAGAGAAAAGAAATTAAATATAAAACTGTTTAAATAAATAAAGAGAAAAATAAAATGAAGAATCAAAGAAGAAGAAAAAAATGGTTCGTCGTATACTATTTTTATGGTTAATCTTTGATAATAAAAGTTTAGTTAATGTAGTGATAAAAAAAATAATTATCGGTACTTACTCTCCTATTTCTAAATAATCTTTGAGTATTATACTCAAAAATAAGGAAATTGTTGTAGCTCCAAATACGCTTTGTATTGTTACAACGGATGGAACTTTCTCAAAAAGATCCGTTAACACCGAATTTCGTATTACAAATTGTTTTTCACGCAGCGTCTGAGATTTTGGATGTCTGAAAAAAAAATGGAAATAATTAGTATGTATCAATTCCAGAGACCATTGGACGTCCATTTTAGAACCATATGGATATCCTATATTTCGGGTTACCTACATAATCCCCGGCGCAGAATCCCCGGCGACAAAATCCCCGCCGACAAAATCCCCGCGACAAAATGCCCAGCGCGGCAAAATCCCCGGAAACTAAAATCCTTGGCGACAAAATCCCCGGAAACTAAAATCCCCGGCGAGAAAATCCCCTGAAACAAAAATCCCTTGAATAAAAATATATCCCGGTAAAAAAACCCCTTGGATACAAAAAAATAATTGCTTAAAATACCATAAACTGGCACAACTCAGAAATTTTATTCTAACAAACTCATAATTCCAATATCGAACATAAATACAAATTTATGAATAATTATCTTAATAACAAAGCTAAAAATCTTATTTCGATAATTAACACGAACAATATGTACACATTACAATAAGAAATATTATAATTGCAAATTTTGCGCAGCGCCATGGAGGAACAATAACTTGCACCAATACCGACAAAGCGATTTTCCATTTTTTACAATTTTTTTCCTACTTACAGTTTCACCTGCGAGCATTATTTATGCTATGTATATTTTCTATTTTCGTTGATATACGACATATTGAAAAATACACGAGAATATTATTACATCAAGAATAATATCTAGCGCGGCTAATCGTGAAAATTGTTTTGTGAAAGGCTGAGTATATCGGGCATAAGCATGCTTTATCATGTTTTGAAACTTAATGGAATAATATTTTTCGATTTTTTTGCATTGTCTTTTGGCACGGGTATTTTGTGACGTCGGGAATTTTGTCGCCGGGGATTTTGTCCCGGGGATTTGGTCGCGGGGATTTGGTCCCGGGGATTTGGTCGCCGGGGTTTTTGGCTGGCACCCCTATATTTCAAGTAAAACATTTCAACATCTTCAGGTTTTCCAAAAAATACGGAGTTCATTGCAATGAAAATGACTTAATATAGGAATAATACCTTACAAAAAAAATTTAACGAAAATGTTACAATTAATTGAGTGCTTTTTACAACTGATGTTTGACGTTTTGACGAGTTACTCATCAGTTACAATATTATTTAAATCAGTGACGGCTATACAAATGTAGTAGATAAAGTGCCAGCACAGCATTATTTATGCTATGGTGCCACTTCACAAAAAATAAATAATAAAACATAAAAATATACTTATATTTTAAACATATGACTTTCCTATCTAGTTATTATAGGCTTTTTCCGGTTATTTTGTACAACCTATTACAGCATCTCTATAAATGTTTAGAGAATAAACTAAATACATTTTCCACATACATCTAACTAGAAACATACTATAGATATTCATTGAAAACGAAAATACTGAAAAATTTAAATTTAGCACTTTTTCTCCAAATTTTTCCATTACGGTCCATTTTAGAAAAATCATGTAAAAAACAAAAATTATAGAGATCGATATCGCAAACAACTGTTTTTACTACTAACATGAGAAATCACCATTATTTACTCCATTCCTCTAATAGCCCAAGAGCCCAATGCAAATTTTTATCGTCATCTGATAACGAAATGAAATATACCCCAAAAGCATCTAAAAACATTGTACTTTACCAAATGGCACCTGTGCCAATCCCAATCCTGAGCAAAGTGGCTTAAAAAAATTATTTTATATTAAAAAAATCACATAAGGCATGACAGCGCTAATTTTGTTTGCCCTTAAAGTTTTCCAGAAAATAACATTCAAATATATCTTAATATGGGGTCTATTCTGTAAAAATTCCTTTATATTTAACGGCCTTTAAAAATATTTTCTTCTTTAATTCGGTCACTATTTAAACGGATCTTTAAAATACATTAGAGGACTATCTTAAAGAAATCTGTTTAAATAATGATAGAAGTAAATTAACGAATACGAACATGTTTTTATAGGCCGCAAATGTTTTTAAAGGCCGTTAAATATAAAGGAATTGTTACAGAATAGACCCCTATATATCGTTAAAGGGAAACGTGCGAACATCTATCCACGATTAGTAGGTAAATATCATTAAAAAGATGAATCAATGTATGCTGATTTAAAAATTTATTTGTATGCCTATTGTTGTGATTCATTTTTACAGGTTGCCATAGAAACTACAAAAAAACTACTATGATTATGGTTTAAAATAATTGTCTAACAAGAGTTTATAATTATTATTGACTATCTCTGCAAATGGTTTATACAATGCCATCCTTCTTCCTTTCATACATAAACATGGTTTAAAAGGTAGCTAAAAATTTTAATAATTCAGGTTTAAAAGCCAGGTTCACAATGAATTAGGATTGTAATTTTCAGGGAAGACATAATTGTCGCTGTCATGTTTTATGTGATTTTTTGAATATAAAATTTTTTTTTTTTAACTACTTTCCTCAGGATAGGGATTGGTACAGGTGAAATTTGGTGAAGTACAATGTTGTTACATGCCTTTGGAGCATATTTCATTTCGTTATCAGATGACGGTCGAAATTTGCAATGGTCTCTCATACTATAATGAGAAGTAATATTTCTCACCCTGGGTAAATAATGAAACTAAAATTTCATTAGTTTCATTTTGTTAATTTGACAACTAAACTCCCAGACTACTTGATATTTTGAAATATTTGAAAAATATGTAGGAAATAACTAAAGATGGGTTTATCAAAATCTAATCAAATCAAATATGATAATATATATATCAGTGTTAATAGTAAAAATATATATTAACTGAGAAATTCAACACCGGCAATAGGCTTCAAAAATTATTAATTAGTACCAATAAATCCATGTCACTAAAATATCAAAAATGCAATGGGATATTTCCTAGAATCATATCAAAATTTGACACATGCCAAATTTTTATATAAATAAAGCCACTCTGATTAGAAACACGCTCCATTCTGCTTGACATTTCGAAATATTTAACAAATTGTTAGGAAATTACTTATGTCAAAATTAAAATTGCTAATATATTATTGTTAGTAGTAAAAAAAATTCTATATATACCTCGGCTGAGAAAGCTCGCACATTATATGTAAGTGCTCGGTAAATAATAGCTCACTTCTCACCCTAGGTATATAATTAATTTTTTCTACGAACTCTTACAAAAAGACATCTTTCGCCACAGGATACTTTCAGCGAAAACTTGATTTCCGTCACTAGTGAGAAAAAATCCCATAACGTTTACTTTCGTCTCTAATGACAAAAGTAAGTTGTTACATATTTTCATATATCAGTCGCCTCGTATAATATTTTGGCAGCTTATAATTATTAATAATGAAATAAAAAGATGCTCATTAAATTCTATATGCGTTTTTACCTAAACTTTAATGAATCAAAGATAAAATAAAAATGTATAAAACTAGTGCAAATTAAACCAATCTACATCTAGTTTCCTGGTTTTCATTTGTTTATTTGAAATTTTATCACTTTTGAGAACTGTCAGTTTCAGTTCGTCCTAAATTTAACACATTTTCATGATATCTGAGTCAGAAAGCGATTGTACTCCCCCAGAAATTATTTTTAAAGCTGAAGAAACCTCTTCAGATTTATTACCGGCCAAATCAAAAAAGAGATATGAAGAAATTTATATCAAATTTTTGGACTGGAGAGAAAAAAATAAAGTGAAATCATTTTCGGAAACTGTACTACTAGCATACTTTGGAGAAATATGTTCAAATTTTAAACCGTCGACATTATGGTCCATTTAATCGATGCTAAGAACTACACTCTCTGTTAAAAATGATGTCGATATTAGTAAATATCCAAAGTTACGTTCGCTTTTGAAAAGAAAATCTGATGGTTTTAAAAGCCAAAAATCCAAAATTTTTTCGCCTGAAGACATAAAGACTTTCCTAAAGAATGCACCTGACTATAAATATTTAATAACAAAGGTAACGGAATTATAATTTTTATTTTAACAAATACTTAATACATAACTACTAATATTTGTAGGTAGCATTAGTTTTTGGATTATCTGGCGCTTGTCGTTGCCACGAACTAAAAGATTTAATAATAAGCGATGTAAAGGATACTGGAAGTATTCTGTTAGTTAAAATCCGTAATACAAAAACAAAAGTTCCGCGTTCTTTTCATATTTTTGGACCCTTTTATGATATTTCTAAAAAATATATGAGCCTACGTCCCGCAAACATGGATCAAATTAATTCAAGATTCTTTATTAACTATCAGAATGGAAAGTGTAGCAGACAGGTTGTTGGAATTAATAAAATCAGTAAATTTCCTAACGAAATTGCTCAGTTTTTAACGCTTCCGAATCCTCAAGATTACACTGGGCACTGTTTCCGCAGAACATCCGCAACGCTATTAGTGGATGCAGGAGGTGACTAGCTTCTGTTAAAAAAGCACGGTGGTTGGAAATCTAGTAGTGTTGCGGAAGGATATGTTGATGAATCCACGAACAGTAAAAACCAAATACAAACCAAAATTTTACAATCTGTACAAAATAAGGAAACTACTAGTTCATCCGATTATGGCGCATCATCATCTGAAATGACATTTAACAGTAGAACAAATATGTCGGCATCTACCTCAATAAATAGTGTGATACCCCCATAATTTTGAACAATTGTTCAAATATAACAATAAATCAATATTTAAATAATAAATAATATTTCTGAAATATTTAATTGTTGGTTAATTTTTTGTTATTCCTAACACAAAATAAAGCATTTGCTAACGTTTGTTTTTTTTTTTTCATTTTAGTAGGTACCTACATGACATAATAGAGTTCGTAGAAAAAGTATAGTGTTTTACTCGTCGAAAATCATTTTTTGAAGAAAAATGTTATTTTCGTCATTCGTGAAACAATATACTATTTTTACATTTTGTCAAATTTCTCGAATACAGACCATTTTAGAAAAATTTTGTATAGAACAAAAATTATAGATAATAATATTAAAAGTAACTTTTATTTGAATAATTTTCTTCTCCAAACGTAAATAACAGATATATTCCATAAAATATAAAAATTACCGCCTTTAAAGTACCCCTTAGATGTTTCGACTCTGCCCAAAATCTAATCAGTTCACTGGAGGCCGGAATAAATCTTATGTTTAAAAAAACACACGAACACACATAGACACAGACACACACACACACAGACATCATCGCGAAAATGGTCAAAACGGATTTAGGGGACCCGAAAACGTAAAAAACCGTAGAAAACTTGAGGTCGAAAAAAATCCTATACTTGTCCTTATCTGCATACAGATAGGAAAGTAAAAAGTAGGGCCATTTATAATTTATGAACCACTGACGCTAGCAGTGGAGCAAATAGGGGTGCTGGGAGTGTTTGTCAGTGTTATTGTAAATATTTACTTATTTTTTAGAATTTTTATTAGTTATTAACATTTGTGCAACAAATCAATGGCGCAGATAAGGGCGGGCAATGGGAATAATTTTCCCCCCAAGCCATAGTCAACATCATTATTTTTTAAACGTTATATTAAACTAAAATAGAAAACAAATAGTTTCTCAAACATTGTCATCTAAAATAAAAATATTCCTGTAAATTGAAAATTAAAATATATATACAGGGTGTTTCAGAATAAAGCACCGTACATTGGGGACTTGTAGATCTTAAGTAATTATAAAGAAAAGCTAAATATAATTTTCCTGTAAACCTCGATTTTCATTCTACAGAGTGATTAGTATATTACATTACGAGTGTGGAAACTCACTTTTCACACAAGTGATGTACAATATTTTTCCTATGGCCACAAAATAATTTCATAAAAAAATGTAAAACCAAGTTATTATTATAATAATTAAAATGTATTTAAAAAACAATCAATAATAATCGTATTTATTCAATTTTCATATTTTCTAAACAAAAAAAAAACTAAAAAAAAAACTAAAAAAAAAACAAACAAAAATTCTGCCCCCGCAAGGATTTGAACGCGGTCGCTCGCCAGGTCTCAAATAGCAAAGTTGATAAAGTTTGATACTCTATCCACCTGAGCTAATAGACCTTGCATCAATTGAATGATCTACTCGGTTATGGGTTAAACCAAAATAAAAAGCAAACATAACTTAGTTATTTTAAAATTATTTTAATAATAATTGTTAAAGATAAATATCTAGGATCTAATTTACAACAATTTCAATAATTTAACAATCATATCGATTTTAGTATTAATATGGACATTACATAGATCAAATTAGAAATTATGCGTTTGACATTTTGTGACAGCTGATGCGGATAGTAACATATTCGCACACGGGTGGAAAGTAAATTCTTATTCATACGCGTGTGATATAGGGCACTTTCCATAGGACTTATATAGTGTGATATGTGTCACTTTCCTAAGTGGACGTAGGAAAAAGCATGCTTGATTGAAAAATTATGGGTTTCTATTGATTAAAAATCTGTATCTTTATGAAAAATCTGTATCATAATGGGTATCATTATGAAACGGAATATGGGCATATAAGTGCATTATTATAATACGGGTGTAAAAAAAAATATGTATACAGGGTGTACCAATAAAAACTCCCAGGCCGGATATTTTGGTAAGTAATAGAGATATTTTAATTCTGCAAGAGGCAGTTCACAGAGCACAAACAGAGCTTCAATTTAAGATATAAATTGATTTTAAATAGGTCATTATGTAGATGGCGCTGCGCTTAATAATTTTTTTTTCGATGGGAGGATCTTTCTTGTGTAGCGCATCTTGTAAAAAATATATTTTTAAGCAGATTTTGTTTTATGAACTAATTCGTTAAATCTAGCCATTTTTGATATACAGAGTGGGTCACTCAAAACAGTATCATCCTGTTTTTCAGCATTAATCATTGGATTTTAAGAAAATGCTAAAACAGGTCGATTTTTATTCCAAATTAAGAACATTTTTATAATACAGACATCTGTCATGTGTCAACCCCCTTCCTTGCACTTCTCCAACACCTTAATTTTAAATAGGTAATGTACCATGTATGGCACATCATTGAAAAGGTAATTTAATGGGGGATTCAAAAATATTTCTGTACATTGCGTTATCTAAATTTTATCATCCTCTAGCGGGATAAAAAACTACTACGTATTATAGAGTGTGACTCTACAATGTGTAGTACATAATTAAAAAGCTAATTTTATGGGGAATTCAGAAAAATGACTGTTCATTGCGATACCTTTAATTGTACTGCCCTCTATCGGGATAAAAAAAAAATGTACGTATTATAAAGTGTGACACCTTATTTGAAAGCAAATTTAATTACTAATTAAATGCACCACATAACATAAATATAAATATCCTCTTTATTGTACTTGCAATAGTTTGAAAATTAGTCATGCGTTATTTTAAACATTATTACTAACTTTATTTTGTTGCAAGTGCAATATGGAAATATTTATAATAATGTTATATGGTGAATTGAATTAGTAATTAAATTATTTTTCAAATGAAGTGTCATACTTTATAATACGTCACAGGTTTTTTTATCCCGATAGAGGGCGCTAAAATTAAAATTATCGAAATAAAAAGTCATATTTTTGACTTCCACGTAAAATTACCTTTTCAATGATGTGCCGTGCATGGTACATTCCTTATTTAAAATTAAGGGGTTGGAGAAGTGGAAGAGAGGGAATTGACACATGACAGATGTCTGTATTGTAAAAATGTGTTCAATTTGAAATAAAAATCGACCTATTTTAGCATTTTCTAAAAATCCAATGATTAATGCCGAAAAACAGGATGAAACTGTTTTGAGTTACCCACTCTGTATATCCAAAATGGCCAGATTTATCGAATTAGTTTATAGAACAAAATCTGCTTAAAAATGCATTTTTTACCAGTTGCGCTATATAAGAAAGATCCTCCCATTGAAAAAAAAAAAATATTAAGCGCTGCGCCATCTACATATTGACCCATTTAAAATTAATTTATATCTAAAACTGAAGCTCTTTTAGAGCTCTATAAACTGGCTTTTACAGAATTAAAATATCTCTATTACTTACCAAAATATCCGGCCTGGGAGTTTTTATTAGTACACCCTGTATGTTAGTTAATCGTCATTATTAGTTAACACACTCTTTTCGATAAATTCCAATAATAGCCCATTGGCATAGACTCAAGGCCTAAGAAAACAATTTTAATCCAAACTTTTTGAACACATATAGGGTTCAAAAGTTAAGATTAATAATTATTATTCCTCACGCAATTTGTCACAAAAAGGGACTCTTGGTTGATCTCTGTAGAACATTTTATTTCCGAAGATTTTTCAGTTTTAGTTCTAGAAAAACATGAAATCTATGTACAATTTTTTTAAGGGCCGATTTCATAATAAATATTAAAAGGTTCATTAACTAATGGGACCAAGATTTATGGACCTTATGGTTCCATTAGTTAATGTACTTTTTAATATTGGTTATGGAAACGGCCTTTAATAAAAATTTGCATTTTTGGAATTTCATAATGTATATACATAGATATGTTTGAGTAGGACTAAAACAGAAAAGTCTCGGAAATGGAATGATCTACAGAGATATTTTTTAAAATTCGCCAATATTAGTGGCTGAAACGATGAAAACTGGGACGTTTATAGGAAAATGATATTTACTTTTCTTTATAATTAGTTAAAACTCATATTCTTTTTTTCTGGAAATACACATTATATGAACTCTAGACGTTGCATTTTGGAGTTACCGTTTCTTAAAATATCACGCTGCGCAAAGAAAACAACCTAGCTACGCGCTTGCAACAAATAATAGTGATTTATAGATCGTCTGTGTCATGTCATGAAGTACTTGTCTCTTTTTGTTGTTTATTTAAAGCATACCGGTACGGTGGCGTAGGCGTCTGAGACGCTCGCATTCATTTTCGGGCAATTTTAGTTTCGAATCTTACAAAATCCTACAAAAGACCGTGTGAATTTATCTGCATTGTTCTCTATAGGATTTGATGGACGCCGTATTAGCAAAAATTTAATATATGTTGATATGACATCCAGAACAAAAAAAAATTCCAATGCGTTACCGTTTGGATGGTGGTAGGTGGTGTTTTCCAGGTATTCCTCACCTGTAAGTCAAATAGCACTATCAATCATCTTTAAGTCGCCTCGGAACGCCACGGCAAATAATAATAATAATAGCTCTCCCTTCCCCTTCACAAGTCGCTCAGTCGACTTCAGCGGTTGAAATTCACTCGTAAGGGGGTGAATTAATAAGAATATTATTACTATATTATTAATGTAAAGTCAAGCATATAACATTATTTTCTGTAGACATTTTTTACGTGTTATATTAATAATATTAATTAAATAATTTGATATAAGAGATTTTTCTGTAGATTTTTAAATTGTTTAAGGCTCTGCCTAAAAGCATTTTGGACGTAGCACCAAAAAAACTCCCTCAACATATTGTATGTCCCCTTTGGCTAAGCTCCCATACGGATTTTATAAAGCCGGCGCCTATGTATATCATACAACAATGTGTGCCCAATTTCCCCGAGATATGTCCGTTTAAAATCTAGTAAAGTAACAAATTGGAACTTCAAAAATTGATATACCTATGTATTTTTTAATAGAGAAGATACCACTCAAATTTAAACACACTATTTATAAATTACAATTGTTTTTAAAAGTAATAAATTAAATTACTCACATTTTTTCTTCAGTTGTTTTCTTCTTATAGCCATTTTGTGTTATTGTATTCGTTGAATGAGAATTTGGACTCATTTTAATTAAGAAGGCACCTCTGAAAAAAAATAAAAACAAATGGTACAAACAGCAAAATAAGAAAGTTAACCGACGCTTCTTAAACAATCACCACGAATAAACAATCTAAAATTCCATCAAAAGAACATGCCATAAAATATTGTAATTCAAAACGACCATTATGATAACATTTATCATTTATTATGAAGTGTGCTATGAAAACTCAATTTAACGACTAGACTGACCAATTTTGAGATATTTAAATAATTTCTTATTAATTCAATGTATTATAATTTTGCAAAATTATGTGTAAACAATTATTGTTTACTAATATTAATATTTCTTGATATCATACGTAATTTATTATATCGCAATATCATGTTATAAGATTAAATTAACTTTTTCATAAAAATCATAATTCTTTAAAGATAAACTGCTTACGGAATTAGCAGAGCTGGACAGATAACTGCGTTAAAGTACTCATAAGTACCTACTTCACAATGGGTAGCTTTACAAAGTACTCATACGTATCTGAGTATGAGTACTTATATGAATAATAAGCAACTGAGTACTTTTGAAAATAGGGTATTCTTGAAAAATCGAGTAACGAGTATGAATTACCTTATCTTTTTTAAATAATTTTTTTTAGTACCTAACTCGAGTTTAGAAAAAAGGGAATTATAATATGTTATTAGTAATAGTAAGTCGGTAAGTAACAAACAAAAAATGAGAGTATCACTTATCTTCTATAAATTAGTTAGCACTTACCATTAACGTGTACGCCCAACTTATTTATTTTAATGTTAAAATATAGTAATAAAGGTATTAGGTAGGGGCAGATATACTGACATAGAGTACTCAAAAGAACAGTCATATTTAAAGATAAGTATATTTTGGAAAGATTGACAAAGTGGTTTAGAATTTTCAGTTGGGAAATTTAAGTTAGGATAGATATATATTAAAGTTGATGATTTTATATCGTAGAGATGAAATAAAAAAATGATGAAGAAAGTTTTAAAGTTTTATTTAAAATAAAGAAAAGTTTTAATGGAATAGGAAGAAGAACCTAGCAGGAATGAGAATTCATCAGAAGGAGGAGAAAGATGAGACTGTAGAGGAAAACAGCAAGAAGAGACCAGAAAGGAGAACAGGAGGTACATAATGTCATTAGTTAGAGCAGAAAGCAGAAGAACAGGGAACAAGAAGAAAGAAGCGAAGCGAAGCTGAATATTTATGTTTTTTTCAAATTCAACATTTATCGATTAGTATTATTTTTGATTATTTTTTGAAATTTTGTTGGAAACCAATGGAGCCATAACCCTAAAAGCTCTAGAATATTGGAATGGTTTAACCTTTCCAAGGTGAAAACATTATAATATATAGGTATGTACGCGTCGGTACTAGTCAGCCGTAGAAATAAAAAGTACTAAGTACTCTATAATATAAAGTACTCGAAATTTTTTGAGTATAAGTCCCATGAGGATGAAAGTACTCACGAGTTCCAATTACTGAGTACAATTTTGAGTACCATTTTGAGTACAATTTTGATGACAATTTTGAGTACAATTTTGAGTACAATTTTGAGTACAATTTTGAGTACAATTTTAAGTACAGTTTTGAGTACAATTTTGAGTACAATTTTGAGTACAATTTTGAGTACAATTTTGAGTACAATTTTGAGTACAATTTTGAGTACAATTTTAAGTACAATTTTGAGTACAATTTTGAGTATAATTTTGAGTATAATTTTGAGTACAATTTTAAGTACAATTTTGAGTACAATTTTGAGTACAATTTTGAGTACAATTTTAAGTACAATTTTGAGTACAATTTTGAGTACAATTTTGAGTACAATTTTGAGTACAATTTTGAGTACAATTTTGAGTACAATTTTAAGTACAATTTTGAGTACAATTTTGAGTACAATTTTGAGTACAATTTTGAGTACAATTTTGAGTACAATTTTGAGTACAATTTTGAGTACAATTTTGAGTACAATTTTGAGTACTATTTGGAGTACAATTTTGAGTACAATTTTGAGTACAATTTTGAGTACAATTTTGAGTACAATTTTGAGTACAATTTTGAGTACAATCTTGAGTACAATTTTGAGTACAATTTTGACTACAATTTTGAGTACAATTTTGAGTACAATTTTGACTACAATTTTGACTACAATTTTGAGTACAATTTTGAGTACAATTTTGAGTACAATTTTGAGTACAATTTTGAGTACAATTTTGAGTACAATTTTGAGTACAATTTTGAGTACAATTTTGAGTACAATTTTGAGTACAATTTTGAGTACAATTTTGAGTACAATTTTGAGTACAATTTTGAGTACAATTTTGAGTACAATTTTGAGTACAATTTTAGGTACAATTTTGAGTACAATTTTGAGTACAATTTTGAGTACAATTTTGAGTTTAATTTTGAGTACAATTTTGAGTACAATTTTGACTACAATTTTGAGTACAATTTTGAGTACAATTTTGACTACAATTTTGACTACAATTTTGAGTACAATTTTGAGTACAATTTTGAGTACAATTTTGAGTACAATTTTGAGTACAATTTTGAGTACAATTTTGAGTACAATTTTGAGTACAATTTTGAGTACAATTTTGAGTACAATTTTGAGTACAATTTTGAGTACAATTTTGAGTACAATTTTGAGTACAATTTTGAGTACAATTTTGAGTACAATTTTGAGTACAATTTTGAGTACAATTTTGAGTACAATTTTGAGTACAATTTTAGGTACAATTTTGAGTACAATTTTGAGTACAATTTTGAGTACAATTTTGAGTTTAATTTTGAGTACAATTTTGAGTACAATTTTGAGTACAATTTTGAGTACAATTTTGAGTACAATTTTGAGTACAATTTTGAGTACAATTTTGAGTACAATTTTGAGTACAATTTTGAGTACAATTTTGAGTACAATTTTGAGTACAATTTTGAGTACAATTTTGAGTACAATTTTGAGTACAATTTTGAGTACAATTTTGAGTACAATTTTGAGTACAATTTTGAGTACAATTTTGAGTACAATTTTGAGTACAATTTTGAGTACAATTTTGAGTACAATTTTGAGTACAATTTTGAGTACAATTTTGAGTACAATTTTGAGTACAATTTTGAGTACAATTTTGAGTACAATTTTGAGTAGCCCTGCCCAGCTCCGGGAATTAGTCGATACACCAAATGTTAGCGTCATTTGTAGGAGAGTATATCACGGAAACGCTTTAGCTGATTTTTAAAATTCCGTGAGCAGTTTATTTTATATAAATATTACAGGGGGTGTTGTGTCGTGTAACACCGAATACAAAAATACTAATTTGATCAAGAAATGCATTTGGTTCTTTCTAACGATTTTGGTGTCTTCGTGTAAAAAAGCTTCCATATATCGTGTGAAATATCATTAAAAAAAGTATACAAGGGTAGTTTGTGCTACAACGGTAGATATGATGTCCATATCGCACGAAGACGAAGTTTGAACACGACGGCGACGGCGTAGAACTAGTTCTCAATCGTCTGAGGGCGATACGGACAAACCACTCCAATTATGCAGTATATTTTTTCTACTATCCACTAACGGAAATTTAAAAATTTTTAAAAATATTTTAGGTTATTAAGATAAAATAACAAAATTTATATAATGAAACAAAAAAATTAAAAAAAAAAAAATTACCCAATTAGTCTCCAATCCTAGAATTGAACCCGGGAGATTCGCGTGAAAGCCAAATGATCTAGTCACTGATCTATCGCTACACATAATATTTTAGTTTTAATACTCGTAATTAAAATGATTTCATATAGTTCTATTAAAATATATGGTTTATTTTTAAATATAGACGAAATAATATTAGAAATGCTATTATTTATCGATTCTACATAAGAGTATCTGACTTTAATGTATAGTTCATCTCAATAACTAAAAAAATATAGTAGTGACAGTTTGACAGAATTGTCCCTTATTTAAAATTTAAGAAGATACTAGTATTCGGGTGATCAAAATATGAACCGTGATTGTTGGATTTCATTTTTTTGTCGTGTTCTTACTAGGTAGAATGGATATGAAATATATTTGTTCAACTGAACGTAATGGCATACTTATTCGTTTTGTAGTCTGTGCGTAGAATAGCTAGTATCCATGTGTCTGTAGAAAAATATATATTTTATTTTATAAATAAGTAAAAGTCATAAATTATTTTAAAATTAGTTATTTTGTCCTAATAACCTAAAATATTTTTTTAAATTTGTAGATTTTCATTAATGGGTCGTAGAAAAAAATATACTGTACAACTCGCGTGGATTGTCCATATCCACTTTTGTTGCACAAACTACTATTTTTCTTTACCCACATGTATATTAGCTATTCTAAGCACATACTACAAAACGAAAAAGAAGGCCATTACGTTCAATTGAACAGGGATAGAACTCACGGACACGTCTATTATCGTTCTAAACTTTCAACCACTAGACGATCTCGACCAAGGAGCCACTTGAAAACTTTTTAGTATATATGGTTATAAAAGAATAAGATTTCAAACGTCCGCTGATAGAATAAAATGCAGTAGATTCCATTTGTCAATTTTTAATGACCAATTAAATAAAAAAAAAAAAAGAAAGTGCGTATGTAGATGGGTATTATCTGGTGGTCTAAATAAATAATAAGTTAAGATGGACGACCACTGGACGTCAAAATACTACTAAACTTAAAATTAAGTTCAAAAACAGACGTCCTCTGGCAGTGTCGGACTGGCCCGGTCGGCAAGTCGGCATTTGCCGACGGGGCCAAACTTTTGGGGGCCAACGGTCAACGGTCAAGCACTAGAGATAAACCACCATCATAAAAATGTTGTTTACAATAATTCAACGAAATCTAGGAAATCTGCCAACATTGGTGCATCTAGACGTAGTCTAGGCTACTGAGACGATTTGTTTAATAGAAATCGCCAAGCGCAAGTTATCTTAGTCTTGTTCGTTCTGCGTTAGGTAACTTTGTTTAATTTATTAATTCTTAACTGGC